ATGGCTCAGTGGAATAAGTGCTTCCCAGGAAAGCGCAAGGGCCTGAGTTCAATCCCCAGTTCTGCAAAAAAAAAAAAAAAAAAAAAAAAAAAAAAAAAAAAGCCAAAACAAATACAAGCATCAACCTGAAGATTAATCTACTGCTGGTGTACCTTCCCCAGGCACCATGTGCATCCAAGGAATAGAAGACAAACAAGTCCAGATGCCTAACATGTGTTGGGCTGATGCAAATTTGCAGTCAAAAGGCAATGGTTTGTGGAATGGCTGTATGAGGTGCTCAAATCTACCAGGAAGAAATATCTTTCTGACAATCAACTGCTTAAAGGTGCCTTCTTATGACAGATACTGCCCAAACACACCCTCCAGCTTGGGTGGATGCTATGGACTCTGAGTATGATCTCATAAGGTCTAATCTTCTTCCTACACACACACACACACACACACACATGCGCGCACACACACACAAACACACACACGTATGTTGAGGCCATGGATCAGCAAGTGATCTGCAACTTCAAGGAGCTATACACATAAAGGCACTCTTCACCAGATGTTTTAATATCAACGAAGAGCTATCTTTGACTCTGAATGAGTTCTGGAATCAATACTTCAATGTCCTCCATTGCATCAACTTCATTAGCAAAGACTGGGAAGATGTTGTGTACCAGACCTCAAACTCAGGCTGGAGAAAACTGATCAGAAGATATTACTGAATGTGATTTTAATGGGTCTGATGCACAGGAGGTGTAAGAGATTGTGTCCATGGACAAGAGTATAGGTGTGGGCATCGATGGTGCAGACATAGAGGAGGTACTGAGAACCATAAGGAAGAGCTGACAATGGAAGAATTTGCTGAAATTATTGAGGGGCATTCCACTGAGGAAAGAAAAGACAGGGAGGAAGTTAACAGGGATGTGGTAATATCCTCTGTGGAAAAATGGAATGAGTGCCCAGATTTCTTTAAGAAGCACCACTCCAACATACCCATAACAGAGTGCAAATCTGATTAACTATAACATGGTGCCTCATTTCTGGAGGGCTATGCTGTGCAATATAACACAGGTGGCAGACAGATTCTTCATCAAAATTGACCCTGCAACTAAGAGACGAGAAGAAACCCCTGAAGGAGATCACTCCCTCCAAACAATAACCTCCCACCCAGCTTCCTGTCCTCCATGCCAGAAGTCACCTCAAGCAAAGGAAGTGTTCTTGCTCCATGCTGTACTGTACTTTCATATTTTTGTGGTTTAAAAAATGCATATAGTTTGCAACAAGTTAACCTTACTTACATTAAACTTTATGGGAAAAGTTTATTTGATTCATGACCATAATCATAGGGGTCAGAACAGATTAACTTTACTTGTTGTACCTTGAACATTATGAGGAATTTAGATTCAGTTCACAACCAATTCAGTCCATGAACAGAACAAATTAAGTTCATGATCCAAGGTACCACTGTACTGAGAGGTTTCTAAAGCTAAAAAATCCAGTCCAGTACTAAGAAACAAAATGAACAAACAAACATCAATAGTATTCCTGCACATCAATAGTGAACCCACTGAGGACAAAGTTAGAAAAAAATACCATTCATAATGGCTCCTAGAAAAAAACAAGGAACCATCCCTGCATATGAAAGCAAAATGAAAACTACAGAACTCTGAAAACAGAAGTTGAAGAGGACATTAGAAAATGGGATGACATCTTGTCTTAAGAGAAAAAACTAATATAACTAAATGACCATATTACCCCCCAAAAATTGATATATAGATTTAGTGCAATACCCATCAAAATATCATCAGCTTCTCTCTTAGAAAAAAATATAATTCTAAAAATAAAATATGGAACCAGAAGAGACTCAAACTAGCCAAAGCAACCCTAGGCAACAACAGCAAGATGGGGGACATTATATTCCCAGACTTCAAGTCATAGTACAAAGCTACAATAGTAAAAACAGTATGGTACTAGCACAAAAGCATAGTTTATGAACCAATGGAATAGAATAGGATGCAGAAAAAAATCCCAAGTTCCTTCAGCCAAAAAATCCCAATTTGACAAAGGGCTCAGAAGTATACACTAGCCTTTTTAACAACTGGTGCTTGGGAAACTGGTTATCCACATGCAGAAAAATGAATATGCACAGACTAAAATGCCTGCTTTGCACCAGGGTTCAATCCCAGGTCCTGCATGCCACACCGGCCCCACCCCTGAACATGCTGAGCTGGCAACTGAGTCCTGGCATGGTGGTCCACGCCTATAATCCCAGTGCTGGGGAGGCTGAAAACAGGAGGATCACTAGGAGTCTAAGCTGCCTAGTGAAACACTGTACCAAATACATAAGTGAAAAAAAAATGAATTTGGATGCATACCTCTAACTAGGTACTAAAATAAAATCAAGATGGATCAAAGATTTAGATATAAAAACAGAAACAGTGAATTTACTGGGGAAAAAATGGTAAAACTCTTGAATTTGTAGGCTTGGGCAAAGACTTTCTGAACAGAACCTCAGTTGCACAAGAATTAATGTCAAGGCTCACCAAACTGATTTATATTAAATTAAAAAGCCCTGAGTAACATAGGAAAAAAAAAACAGAGTAAGGGGCAACCTGCAAAATGGGCCAAAAATGTTATCAGTCAGAAAACTAACATTCAGAATATATGAAAAACTGGAAAAAAGCAGACTGCCAAAATAAAATCAAAAAAATTAAAGTCGATAGACATTTCACAGGGGAGGAAATACAAATGGCCAAAAATACATGAAAAATATTGAGTATTTTTGGTCATTAGCTACAAATCTAAAAAAAAAGGACACAAATCTAAACAAAACAATACTGAGATTCCACCTTGCTCCAGTAAGAATGACTGGATAAGAGTCAAAAACACAAAATGCAGGTGAGGTGACCAAGAGGGGGCTTCTACATTGTTGATGGAAATGTAGAAGTACTAGTACAAGTACTTTGATTTGACTCAGGTATACTTGTTCTGAGTATTTTCCCAAAAGAACTAAATTCATCACTGTAGGAGTCCCCTCTAGGACCTCATCTTGGTCCAAGAAGTCAGTATTTGTAATCCCAAAGATACATTATTGGAATCCCACCAAGTTAATTCCAATCTACCGCTCCCACTGCAACCCATGGCGAAAGTAAAGACATTAAAACATATTTGATTATTGGGGAACCAAGGAGCCCTAAGTCCAGCCATGAAGATGGCTTTGTGGAACAAAGAGACTGACCCAGAGCTACACCAGGTTTTATTTAGTGGAGGAGTGGCTTGAGGAGGAATGACTGAGAATCATGGGAAGTAGGTAAGTACTGTGAGCTGAGCTAGGTAGGTGGCCTACATTTACCTCTGTCATATGCAGAGAGGATATGCAGAGAAAGTAATCTGCATTAAGCTATTGTGATAGTATCTAATTTATTTTGGGGGGGGTGTGTCTGGTGCTTTAGCTCTGATGTAGTCTTTCAAGAGCCACGAAGTCATAATCTCTATCTCAAGCTCTAACCCAGCTGCCAGCTCACAGCATTGGCTCTTCCTCCTGTCTCATAGTAAAGGTGTAGGTTACCAGGGAAACACGCACGCCACCTTCAAAGCCTATCACCAGCGCCTCAGCTAGACCAATACACATTGCTTAAGGCCAATTGAAGGATAAACAGAAGTCCTAGCCAGCTCTGTGCATAACAATATGATGAAATAGGGTCAGGCTTAGTCAAAATGGAGACGCTTATTCTTCTTTCAAGGAGAGCTGCTCAGGTGGTCCTCCACACATCATGTTACATCAATGCATGTATATATATATATATATATATATATATAGCAGTACAACGCACCATAGTTAAATCACAAAGTGACCTATATGCACATCGACAAATGAATAAAATGTAGTATACACCCACAAGAAAGTGCTACACAGTTCTAAAGGATAAATTGCAGTCATTTGTAGCAAAATGGGTGGATTTTTTTGTTTGTTTTTTGCGGTACGGGGGATTGAACTCAGAACCTTGTGTTTGCCAGGCAGGCGCTTATTCTACTCAGCTATCTCCCCGGGGCCCAGACGGTGGATCTTGAGACCATAAAGCTAACTGAAATAAGTCAGTCACAAAAGGTGTCTTTGAAATGCACAAATTATAAACAACTTAAAGAGAAAACTGAACAGCCATGTTAAAAGGTAGGGATGTACCTGTGAGTGTACTCGGCCTAGCCACGCACAGGCCTTGGCACAAGACTCTCCAGCGAGCCAGCTGCGGCTGGCGCCTGATCCCCTATCCCTTCCCAAAGCAGCGGCCGCCTGCGGGAGCACCCGGGGCACTGAGTCTAGGGCCCGGCGGAAACTGAACTAAGAAGGCTCCAAGAGGCTGGAGAGGGCAAGCTAGAGGATCCTCCCAGCTCCACCCCCAGGGGGCGCCTAGACCCTAAGGACGCCAGGGCGGTGCGCAGGCGCAGTCACCACCCACAGCCGGGGCGAGTTTCCCGCAACAAAGCGGGGCGGGGCAAGGAGTGAAGAGGGACGGCAAGGAGAGGGGCGGGGCGGGGTGGACAAGGAGTGAGGCAGGGTGAGGGAGGCAGCTATGAATCCGGCGCGGACAGGGAGAGGGCGGGGCGAGGGCAGGGCTGTGGGCAAGAGCGCACGGATCTGAGAGCAGAAAAGGGAGGAGGGGCAGCGCGTGCGGGTCAGGAGGGGACGGCGTAGGAAGGAGCAGGGAGGGCGGGGCGATGAGTGAGGAGGGGCAGGACAGACAAGGGGCGGGGCGAGAAGGTAGCGGTGATGGGGAGGCGGGGCAAGATAGGGGCGTGGTCAATAAGGGGCGTGTCTAGGCCAGTCTGGGCTGGGACAGGCGATCCAAGGAGCAGGGGCGGGGGAAGTAGGCGGGGCTATGCCTGCGGGCGGGGTCATGATGGCTCGGACGGGGCAAGCGAGGCGCTACTGGGCAGGGACAGGAGCTCGTGGGGGCGGAGCGAAGCTTAGCCACTGAGATAGGAGCAAGCGGGGGGCATTGGGGCGGGGCCGAGGTGGCCCCGCGCGCCCCTTCTTTCTTTCTTTCTTCCTTTCTTCTTTCTCTAGTCCTTGCTCAGTCTCTTAGCTTCGCAGCTGGCCTTGGTTGCACACCATACTGCCCTTGTCGCCGGACACCGCAGCTGCACTAGAGACCGTCGCCCCCGTGCACCCTGCCATGCGCGGCTATCCCAGCCTCCTTGGCCGCGTGCCACTGTTCTGCCCGCTGCTGCTCCTGCTCTGCGCACTGGCGCTCGGCGCCCCCAGGCCCGCACCAGGTGGGTGGCCGCTCTTCGGGACCCCACGTCGCCGTCACCCGTCCTGCCGGACGAGCCCCCGCTTCCCACCGGGCTGCGCTGCGCGTCTCCTCCCCTATAGCTCCCTGGCCCAGCGCCTCCCAGTGGCAGGGACGAACCAGTGGCCTCCGGACTGAGCTTCGCCCCCAGCCCTTGTTTCAGACCCTTGTTTGAGACTGGGTCTCGCTGAGTCACTAAGAAACCCCGTAGAACTCGAACTCGCTATCCTCCCGCTTTACCTAGAGTCCTAGGTTTCCAGGATCGTGCCGGGAGCGCCTTCCTCCAGTGGGGGTCCGGCCGCTCCCCATAGCGCAGCAGCCAGGGCGCGGGTCCCCAACACTTCCTCCCTCTGCCTCCTAAAGTGAAGGCTCCAGGGTTCTCCCCAGGTTCTGACAGCCCCGCTCCCGCTGTCTTGGTGTGCCTGGAAGCCGGGCTGGGGGCGAGAGGCTTCGCTGTGCAAGGGCCGGTTGGGAACTGGACTGTCCCCGGGGGAAATGCACCCGGGTGTGCGGCACTTGGCCGGATCCCAGCGGGCGCGAGGTCTGGTCCCACAGCCGGACGTGGGATGCTGAGGGGCGACACTGAGCAGCACCCAACCCTAGTAGCAGCTCAAGTTCCTAAAGGCGCCCGAAGACAGCGCAGAACGGACCTTCACGGGGGCTAGCTGCAAAGAAGGGACTCAGGAGCTACATCTGGGTTGAGGCTAGACCCTGAGCCGACCGCATGTAGAAGCTGCTTGTATCCACTCAGACTGGACAAAGATGAGCCAAATGAGCTGAGCTGCAGAAAGTGTCCCCTGGGACCTCGCCCCAGCCGGAAGTGGGTCCAAGCCCCTGACAGCCGTGGGAAGTGGGGGGGTGGGGGAGTAGTCCAACCTCGTGGGATTCGCGTGAGAACTGAGATCCTGGATGTCAATTACTTCACCCAGGACACGGTTTGTATTAATCATCCGGGCAGAAGATTAATACAACCTCTGTCTGCAAGTAAAGGCCTCCAGTGAGCTGGGCACTAAGCACTGCCCCACGTGCCACTGTTGTCCTCAGTAGGAGTGCTTCATGGGGCCTCTCCCATCCTTCTTACTCCAGATCTCTGATCTGGCTGGGGCTGTGACCTTTTCTTCTGAGCCTACATCTTGCCCCAAAGGGTCCCCTTCACTGGCCAAGGAGCATTTCCTGGGCTTGCTTTTAGGAGAAGGTTGTCGACTTGTTTCTTCACCAGGGACTTGCAGGACTGCTGGGACTCCCTGTCTCCCCCCACAAGCTGTGCTGCCTGTGGGGACAGACACTGAACACCCAGGAAGAGGCTCACTCACAGAATGGCTCCACCTCCTCCTTCTGCTTATTTTTCCCCTTAGCATGTGCTGCAGGTCATTCGAAGGCTGAATTTTAGCTTAGGCTCTTGATAGGGAGGTGAGGTAAACACATCGTTGGGGGTTCTCGAGTAGAAGCCCCACAGTGACAGCTTGTCACCCAGGGGTGATATTTAAAGTATTTAACAGTGTGAGGAGAGCTCAGTCCCATCAGAGCAGATGCAACAGGACAAATTGAGCCACAAAAAAACCTGGCAGCTGTCTGAGTGGCTCCCAAGTAGCTCCGGAGCTTGCCAGCCAAGGTAGCTTGTAGCCCTGTAGGCTCTGCATACATGGAAAGTGGGCTGGAACCTGCAATTCAGCATCACCAACACTGTGCTGGTTTCAGGCACCAAAGTCTCCACCAGGATCTACTACAAGCAGCCTTGAGACCATTGTTAAATTAATTCACTTTTCCCCTTTTAAAAAATATTGTAATGACAAAACAACACAAGTTCATTATAAAAATAACTCAGAACAAAACAAGAAAATAACAAAGTCATGACCTCCTATAAGTATTTTTTTAACTAAACAGATGAAACAAGTTTATAGATAAATCCCTAAGGGGCTGAGGATGTAGCTCAGAGATAGAGCACTTGCCTGGAATGTGAAAGGAAAAAGAAGAAAAGAGAAATGAAATAGCTAAGAGCAATTTAGAACTTCTCTTACTAATGTTCAGTCCTAATGTGGCTCACATTTTCTGTGTGCTAGCAACTGCATAAACATTTATATATTCACAGTTTATAGTATAGCTGTGTGTAGTGGAGCTGGGATTTAAAGACATTCCAGCTCCACGGCACACCAATCCTAATGTCATTGACCCACAGCATAGTGTTACTTAGCCCTACTCATGGGTCTTTTGTTTCTGTAGTGCTGAGATCAAACCCACCACCATGTGCTTGCCAGGCAAGCATTGCACCACTGAGCTATACCCAAGCCCATTTGTGCTTTGAATTTGATGGGCTGTTGTTTATGACTCAGCTAGAATTCCCATCTTGCCCAAGGTCTAGAGCAGGGGTTGGGACTAGGACTGTACATCCATGGGTCCCTCCCCCAGGACAGTTTCTCAAGCTATTGAGGCCATTTCCCAGCAGATACCTTGCCCCTGACCTTCATTTGAGGACACTGCAGTTTCTAGACATATGCCAACAGCTTCTGTCCTTCTGTATGGGGACTTCAAGGCTGGCTTTCATCGATGCCACCTGAACTTCTTGCCTTTAGCTGCCTTGGCTATGGTTATGTTCTGGGAACTATTGGTGACATTCATTCATCAAAGACTCGGAGATTTGCTGTTATCTTATTCTCTGCCATTTTCACCCCTCAACTCAGGCTGTCCCCTTTCTGTTTTCTAGCTTGTATTCTCCATGCAGATAAGGAGACAGAGGCTCAGAGAGGTGGCCATGCCTAAGCTCAAACAACTGCTGTGTGGCCCACTTGGGATCTGAGCCAGGTCTTTCTGCCTTCAAAATCCATGCACGCGACAGCATATTATGATGTCACTTCATCGTCTCATTTCACAAAACATGTCTGTGCCAAGAGTAATTAATGTCTCGCTGCTTCTCTTCCTTTCTAGTTTTCTCCACTTCTTGGAGGCCTTGACACACTCTCCTTACCCCAAGATGCGTGCTGTATCTCCATAGCTGGAAATGTCCCCTCTATCAGGGAACATCTTCCTTCTCTGATGAGGCATCTTTTCATTGTAGTCCCTGCATGATGTATCTCTCCCCTGGGCATGGACCTTTTCAGCACCATGCCAGGGTGAGGTTCATAGATTCCCTATGCTCACTGCCCTGTTTTGAGGGCATCTTTTGCATTTTCCTGGTGTTTTGCACACCTGGTGCCCCTACAGTTAGCTGAGAACCACACACCATGTACCAATGGACCAGCCTTTTATAACAAATGAGTGAACAAGGCTGATAAGGAGAAAAATTTGTCTTGCAAATGGGGCCCCTTAGTCTGTCTCTTTTCGTCCACATTTTGGTTAGAGAATTAGTTTTTACAGAGTGAAAGAAAACCCAAATGTGATGTTCACAGGCAACCTACAGTCAGCCACAGTATTGGGGATGATAGGAAGTGGTGGGACTGAGGCAGAAAGAATAGACAGGCACCTCTAAAAGGGACCCACTCTTCCTCCCCAGCTACTTCTGCCAGGTAGAAATTTAAGCCTGATATGGATAGATAATGCACTTTTATTAAAAAAAAAAGCTGAAAAGTGAGATATTTGTAAAAAAAAAAAATGGGATTCTTGGACACAGGCAACTGATTACAAGCTGGGCATGATGGCACATTCCTACAACTCCAGCACTTGGGAGGCTAAGGCAGGAGGATTGCTGCAAGTGCAAGGCCAACCTGGGCTACAAAGTGAGTTCCAGTCCAGCCTGAATTGTGTAGTGGAGCCCTGTCTTAAAAAGATAAAAAAGAAAAAGTTCTTCAACATTTTCTCCAGCCAAAACTGACTAAAACAAAATCAAGTCTGCAGTCTGCGGATGTAGAGTTCTAGTCCCAAATGCCTTATTGAGGGTCAAGGGCAGTAAGTCAGTTTAACTCACTAAGCCCAGCATCTTCCCTCAGAATCCCTGTGGCTTAGGAAAACTGCAGAGATCTGAGGTCCTAGGGGCCATGGCCTTAGGTATGTAGAATCAGAATCTCTGGGCTAGGGCCTGGGTGCCTGCACTTTTTCAAAACTCTTTAGGTATCACTTCTGGGCAGCCAAGTTCACTCAGGGAAGATTTCCTAAATTGCTTCTTGGTCAGAGTTCCCCCAGGCTACTGATAAAAACACAGCTTCCTACTCCTGTTTCCTGGCGCTGCTGAGTCAGTGAGTCTGGATGGGGCCTGGGACGTTTTTTAAAGACATTCTTGTCCAGGAAGTCTGGAAAATCTTTGTACTCGCCTCCCTAAAGTTCGCTGATGGAAACACTTGCTCAGAGTCACAGGCCAGTCTCCCCAGCCCACGTGCCAGGGACTCCCATAGAAGGCTGTTTGGGGCCTGCCCTCCAGAGCATCTGTGGGTTGCGTGACACCTGCAGTAGCAGACACATGGCTGGCATGTGCAAAGTGCTCTCCATACCCGTGACACAGGAGAGGATGAGTTTGGCTCTGCAGTGTGACTGAGGAGGGCCTCCAGCCTCAGCCCAGCCTCCCTTCCAGCTCTGGCAGGCAGCAGTCCTGGTGGGTCATCTGCAGGGCACTAGGCTTCCCGTAGGCCTGCAAAGTCCTTTTCGTGAGTGGTCAGGATCCAAGAGCTGGGCATAAACCTGGCAGGTCCTTGAGAAACCTGGGGCTGGGAGAAACCTCAGATTGGTGAGTTTTCTGACCACTTCTCAGCCTGGGGGCTGCAAAGGGAAACAGGACAGGAGCCTAGGCCACAACTGCCCTACATGCCTCCAAAACAACCCTCCTCTAGTGCATGTAGATGTCCACATAGGATTCTAAGATTAGAGATGGTTGCCAAAGAAGTTTTAATAGTTTGATCTAATCTAACTTCTTCCCATTAGAGAGGAAACTGAGGCCCTCCCTCAGACAGACTGCTAAGAAAATAGAGGAATATTACTGAAGAGACAAAACCGTTCAGAAAATGTGCCCTCAAGTGTCAGCCCTGCCAAGCTCAGTGTGTGCCCTCAGACCTGTCTCTCCACTTCTGAGTCTTCCTTTGCTTTCTTACCTGGGAGACAGTCTAGGTCATAGTGGAGCGAAGCTACGGCACATGTGCCACAGTGAGCTGTTTGTATGGGTAGAAGCTCCAAAAGCTTTACCATCACAGGTCTGGGCACTCTTACTGTCGGTATCTCAACCTGGTGTCTATAACCTAAAGGGCCTTGACTTTCAGAAATCTATAAATATGAATTCAAAAACATTACATCTCTAATTTTTCTTTTTTTCCTTCTTTCCTTCCTTCCTTTTCCTTTCTTTCTCTCTCTCTTTTTTTTCTTTCTTTCTTTCAAGACCGGCTCTCATCATGTAGTTCAGGCTGGCCTGAAACTCACAGTGATCCCTGGCACCAATCTTTCTAATCTCCAAGTGAAACTCATTATTTTCTTCAATTACGAATATTACCAACAAGTCTCAATAGCATTAGCAGCATCTGTGACTTTGCTACCAGGAGGGAAAAACCAAAACCACCTCTCATTACAGTTGCAGGTAACTCAGAGCTCACACTCATCAATACTTCAAAATTATCATAGTTGCCAAGTTTCTCATTAGGTCCTACTTAGTGAATTAGTAAAGGACCACATAATTTCACGCTCCACTTTTTTTATTTTTTTTATTTTTGGCACGGAGAAGCTCTACCACTGAGCTACATCCTTAGAGCCCTTTTTATTTAATTTTGAGACAGTCCTGCTAAATTGCTTAGGCTGGTCTCAAACTTGCAAACCTCCTCCTGCAGCCTCCAGAATAAATTGAGGTTACAGGCCGTGGGCCAAAGCAGCTGGCCAGCGAGCTCTTGGCTCTAAAAGAAACCAGAGCTGCTCCTTTGAAGCAGTAGGTTCAGAAATCTGCGAACCCCCCCCCCCCATCATTCTCTATCTGCCAATCCTGGGAGGCCTGGAGACACCTGCAGCACCCTCAGGCAGGTGACAGTAGGTTTTGTAGTTATGATTATAAGCATTATCTTGGCCTCCAGGCTCAGGCTCAATCAGCAGGCCAGGTGCTGTGTGGCAGACTCAGTTGATCCCCTCCTCACAGCCCCAGGAGTAAGTTCTATTATTGTCTCCATTCTGCAGAATCAGTCGACAAATACCTCCACCTACAACACTTAAAATCATGAGCATAGAATATAAAGATCTTTGCCTTTCTAGAGTTTGTACTGGGAGGAGAGGTAGAAAACATAATGAAAATGTATGTTAGAGTGCTGGGGGTGGGAGTGCCAGTGTCTCCTCTCACTGAGAAGGAAGCTGGGAAGCCAGAGAAGCAGGTGAAGTTAACCCCTGAGAAACCAGGAAGAGTGCTTAGGGCAGGAATGGCGCTGCAGCTGGGTGAAGCATGAACCTGTCTCGGCTGTCTAGAATTCTTGGCCAGGCCACGGTTGAGCACAGGGATGCATAGCTGGAGGCGAGGCTAGTGCCTTCCCCTCCCCTCCCTAGGGCTCCTGCAGAACTGTGTCACTCTAAGGAGACGGGCACAGCTGCAGTTTCTGAACTGAGGAAGACCTTGGTTGTCAGATCAAAAGCCTTTGAAGTGCTGGGACCTGCCACTTGAATGGGTCCCAGGGTGGATGGCGGGGCACCTGAGAAGTTACCAGAGATGAAATAGCAGTTAGTGGGTGCACGGCAGGACCTGAGCTCAGGCAACCTGGCTCAGGACCATCCCCTCGCAGCCCAGGTCCCATGTCATGGTTCTCTCTCCCAGCAGAGCCTGCAGCTGGCAGCCTGACGTCCTTGGACATTGTGCACCCAGTGCGTGTGGACGCTACTGGCACCTTCCTGTCCTTCGAGCTCTGGCCACACACAGTGCAGAAGCGGGCAGCACCAGATTTGGATTCAGGTTTGGGGCCTGCACCCCACACTACACCCACCTTCTTTCAGCTGCGCTACCGCGGGAGGGAGCTGCGCTTCAACCTCTCCACAAATGTGTGGCTGCTGGCACCAGGCTTTGTGCTTGAGACACGTCGCACTGGTGGCCTGGGCCAGGCACATATCCGGCCCCACACACCTGCCTGCCACCTGCTGGGCCATGTGCAGGATCTACAGCTTGAGGGGGGCCATGCTGCCATCAGTGCCTGTGATGGCTTGGTGAGTACCAGTAACCCTGCCTGGCCTAGTGATTCGGTTCCCCACTGTGTCTTCCTCCGTTGGGCTCCTTAATAGAAGTGATAGCATAAGGCCTGTTGTTCACTACAACAGCAGGATCCAAAGTTTTGCCTGAGCCAGGATCACTCTTGGGTTTTGACAAGCTGGTGTGGGTGGAGGCTGGACCCTGCCCTTCTTAGACTGTCCCAGGCAGCACTGATGCTACGGGCCCCACCTAGAACGTCACTGTTTGTGGCCCTCTTGGTTTGGTGTCAGCTGGGACTGCTCCTCCTTGGTCTTCCCTGGACCAGACCCTATCTTAGTTCCTCATCACTGAAACACTGTCCCCAGCACCCATGACTCTTAAAGGAAAGATTTATCCTGACTCATGTTTTAGTCCATGGTCTACAGGCTCCAAAGAAGAAATGATGGCAGAGGGGCGTGCTGCACACCACATGGCGGGCTAAGCCCAGGGGCAGAGAGAGCAAAGGGTGTATCTGGGAAGGAAGACAGACCCAGGCCAGGCCCCACCTCATAACTGCAAGCCTGCTGTAAGCCTGTCATCCAGTCGTCCTTCACAAGCCTCATCTCTGAACACTTAGGGCTTTTGAGGGACATCTAGATATAAACCATGACCCCTCCCTTGCTCTTTAACAGCTCTGCAGGGGTCTTCAGGTCCCTCAGCCCCTCCACCCAGACCAGCCCTCTGGGGAAAGCCAGCCTCAGTGTCTGGGCCTTGCACCCTAATTGCTTCCCCTGTTACAGGTATGGGAGCCACCCCTGCTAATGTTGGCACTGGGCCCCATTCTGTACCTGCTTTGTGCGCAATGCTGCGCTCCCACTTCTGAGGGTGAGGTGTGGAGCAGTAGGGATAAGCACACACTCTTGGCTACCCACTGTTGCTTCTTATGCACAGAGTCTGTGCCTGCTCAGTAACACCTCGGGGAGCCTGGACAGCATCCGTACATGTCATGCATGGTTCCAGTTTTATAGATAAGAGAACTGCTCAGAGAGGAGCTTGCCCAAGGTCCCTGGTCATCCAAGACTAGAGACTGCATTCAGACTGGGGCTCAGTCCTCAGTGTGGATGGCACAGTCCTGCCCTCCAAGCTCCTTGGGTCTGTGTGATCCAAACAAGGGTAGATTTGGTACTAGAGAGGGGATATCGGAGGAAGGTGACAGCTTCATCCCTGTTGGGGTCCTGAACATCCTGGAAAGGTGGGCTCCTTAGGATGCTTCCCATTCCCTCTCTTTTCTGGGTGGACATGGCAAGTCTGTTTCCTGTCTCTAGCCAGCCCTGGCCCCAGGGACATCTCAGTGGCTTGGATGTGGGCAGAGCTGCTTGTGGACTGACCACCACATCAGGGAGGCCAAGGGCAGATGAGAAGGTCTGACCATCAGGGGAGAGAATGGTGGCTGGAGAAGCAAAGTAGCCTGAAGGCCTGGCATGGGCTGCTGGGCTGGAGATGATGTGTGGACTCCGCAGGAACCATTGTCCTCAGATTTAGGTGCAGACCATTTTACCTCTCCATGGAGTGGGGCACAGCATCCTAAGGAGGGTCTCTGAACTCCACTGCAAAGTCTCTGGTTGTACAGAGGGCAGAGAATGACATTTTGCTAGGGGACAAAGTATAGACAAAGTCCCAGAGGGAGGGAAGTGCTGTGCCTATCTGTGGCAGTCACAGGGAGGGCTCAGCCAGGCAGAGCGGCTCTCTGGGGTGGTGGAAAGGACAGCCAGGCACCAGCCCTCCCTGTGTGACCCTGCTGCTGCTTCTCCAGAAAGGAGTTTTCTGGCTGTCCGACGAGGACTACTTCATTGAGCCCCTGGATGGAGCTCCAGACCAGCCTGGCCATGCATGGCCCCATGTGGTGTACAAGCACCAGAACCCTGAGAGGTGGGCAGCGCAAGGTGACAACCAGGCTTCACGCACCTGTGGAGTACAAGGTATGCTTATCCCTCTAGTAGCTTGTGGAGAGGGCCTGGAGACTTAGAAGGTCTCTCTGGAAGCCTCTTGCAACATCCTCACACAGAAGGACAGGCAGACATGTCACCATAGTCTGGCCCTTTAGATGCCCCTGGGCCTGACCTGACCTGCCAGCCCCAGTCTCCTCTTCCTCACCATATGGTTGTGGCATCCCTGGCTGTGCCAACCACTATTCTTCAAGTATCCCGACCAGCCCCAGCAGAACCCTTGGCTAGACCATCCCCATTCTGGGTCCAGAACAACTTGTTCTGTCACTAGGGACCTAGAGCACAATACATAGGTCCCCATCTGCAGAGTGGCCATAGTGCCAGCCAGGCCAAGAAAGGAGCCAACTGCTGAGGGCTGGTGGAGTCTAAGGACTGCTTGGCTGACACTAAGCCCAAGCTGCCCACCACTTAGGGACTCTGTTTGCAAGAAGAAATGTCCACTCAGACATACCTGTCAGCCTCAGTTTCCCCTGCTTCATGGATTTGCTTCCTCAGGACAGTGGACCCTCAGTAGGGTCCGCCAGTTTGAGTCTTGGTCCTTCCGGGATAAAGTGTAGACCAGCAGTCTGCATGTGGTATCAGGGAGAGAAATTCAAGAAGACAGGACCTCATGTAGACCAGGTCACTGTGGAAGCATATCAACAAATCTTATTTCTAGGAGTAATCCTGGAAATCAGGATCAGAGAAGGGACATGACGAGACCAGGGCCATACGGCACACTCTGGGGCAGCCCCGGGAAGGGAATTGGGCCTCTCCCTTGTGATTGGTTCTGTTTGCGCTATGCCAAAGACAGTTTACTCAGGAAAGGCCCTGGGGACATAGGCCCTGAGCCAGCTAACCCCAGCCTACTGGGGCCCTTAGTGTCCCCAGAGCTGGAGCGTCAACAAGAGGACCTGGAGCAGCCACAACCAGGGAAGCAACAGCGACAGAAGCGTTTGTACCCCGGCTCAGTCAGCAAGGAGAAATGGGTAGAAACCTTGGTGGTGGCTGATACTAAAATGGTGGAATACCATGGGCAGCCGCAGGTGGAGAACTACGTGCTGACCATCATGAATATGGTGAGACTGGCAATGGTAGTAATGGTATTTGTTGGGGGAGGCGAGGGACTGCAGCGGGTGGTGTTCAAGGTGGCTGCATCCTGGACCCAGGTTCAGGCCTCAAGCAGGAAGGAAAGAGGTTTCTAAGTTTCCAAGGCCTCAAGGGACATGGCCTGGCAGGGGCACCAGGAGCAAGCAGCAGCACAGGGCACTAGCACAAGGCTCCTCAGACATCATCCAGCTGCACCACACATGCCTCTCCCCTGCTTTTGGCCACCCAGGGTGCCAGGTAGGGTACTGCATGGGAACACTCTGGGTACCATGCCACTCACTGGCCCAGCTGGCACTTGCGAGGGAAAGGGCACACCAAGATGGCCACTGTTCTGTGCTACCTGGGGAGCTCATGGACCATGTGACTCATTCATCCTGCCCTGAACCAAACCCTCTCCTGTGTCCAGACCTGTCCTGGGTGCTATGGACACGTATGCCCTGCCCCAACTCGTACATGCATTAAAGGAACAAGGATCTACTCAGTTCTTGGTTGTTATCTTGGGCAAGTAATTCATGTGTGGATGAGGGAAGGAGGTAGCTCTCCATGGGGATGGAAAACTGCTTTTGGCCCCACACGACACTTGGAGTCACCAGGGCCCCAAGAAGCAAGTGGCTTGCCAGGTCGCCCAAGCAGCCTAGATAGCATGTCTGCTAAGGCTCACTGGCATGGAGCACTGTGGCTCCTCGAGCCAATGCCAAGGCCCATGATGCCCTCTTTAAGGGACAGATAGGTCAGTCGGGCTGCTTCTGTGGTCCCTGGAGAAAGCTCAGCCCTAACACCCTCAGCAGCCCCACACAGCCTCTGCACAGCCGTTTCTCCTCCGGCTATGAGCCCCCCCAATCCAGCCATCTTCCAGAAGCCCACCTATAAGCACATGAGGCTCTTGGAGAACATGTTCATCCAAACCAAACATTCTAACCCTAGCCACTAAAAGACTTATGCCCTTTTTGAAAAATTTATTCAGTTCATCTCTAAGAGTTGCTGGAGCTCTAATAGTCTTGATGTTGATGAAGAGTCCAAAGTCCCCTCTGAGCTTTAAGACAAACTAAGCTGTGAGCCCCTGTAAAAGTCAAGCGAAAGGTAAGCACTGTGGATGTACAGTGGCACAGGGTAGAAATTCCTCTTCTAAAAGGGAAGAATGAGAATAGAAAGCAATAGGACCAAAGCACACTGAAACACAGCAAGGAAAACATTAAGTCCTATAACTCAATGCCCAGCTTCTAGGGCAATCTGGTGTGATGTGATCTCCAAATGGCTTGGGCAGCCCCAGCCCTAAGACCACCAGTGGTTGTAGCCCTCAGGACTTTTTTCTTAGCATGGCTCTGCTAATTGCCTGAGGCTTTCCTCAGACATTCCATGTTCATGGCTTCTCCAGCTCATTGGGGTCTCCACTGTGCTTTTGACTTTACTCTCCTAGCTTCACACACAGCCTTCACAGGGGTGCACTGCCTGGCCTACTAAGCCTTCATCTGAAATCTAGCTGGAAGCCATGATTATACAACATTCTCCATGCCTATAAAACCAGCACCATGTAGGTGATACCACAGTCTGTAACTGCCAGCTCCAACAGCACTTTTGCATCATCACTGTAGGGACCTCTTGACTGCCTTAATGTTTGAGCACCATGAGCAGAATCTTGGGAAGCCAGTGTCTTTCCTCTAGCAGGGTATCCTGGGGCTCTCTTCTCAAAGAAAAGTCTTTCATTTTTCACTTTTGAGCCTGGAAGGATGGGGTTATGTGATTCCTTATCTTCCATTAATCTTTTTCCTATTGTCCGGATCCAAAGTACCTGGCTTTTAGTATTAAATTTTTCATCCAGGCTCCCCTGTTCTCCAATTTTACAGAAACCTTCCTTTCCAGTGGGAACTTCTAAAGTCCCTTAGCCATGCTGTTTGCTCCTGATTCTCAGCATAGAGCAGGCTAAAAGTTCTCAACAGTACCCATGCCACAGCCTGAATGTTGGGCTGCTTTGAAACATCCTCTGCCAAATTAATTTGTCCCCCAATCTTAATCTGTGTCTCTTGAAAAGTGTGAGGACATGAGCAAAACAAAATTTCTGCCAGAGCATAACATACATGATCAGGAGTCCAAATGCCAATGGAGTCTGTTCCAACTGAAACCTCAGCCTGGTCTTTACTATTGACCTTCTTCCCAGCATTCTAGTCTTTGAGCTCTGACCAGAAACTCCAGCCAGCATCACTAAACCTTTCCAAACTCCTCCTGTGAACCAATTGCAAAGGCTTCTGAATCCCCTGGTCAGGGGGTATCGCAGCAACAACCCCACTTCTCTGGTATCAAAATCTGTTTTAGTCACTTTCTTCACTGGGGCAAAATACCCAACACCCACAACTTAAAAGAGGAGAGATTTATTTTAGCTCATGTTTCAGTCCATGGCCACGTGGCCCCAAAGCAAGGTAGTATGGGAGAGGAAAAGTTGCTCATGTCATGGCTGACAGAAGGGAGGGACTAGGGAGAAAGATAAACATGTCCAGGCCATGCCCAGGGACCTGCCTCTTCTGCCCAGACCTATCAGCTGACTTTTTTTCTTTTCTTTTTTTTTTTTTTTTTTTTTTTCTTTTTTTGTGGAACCAGGGATCAAACTCAGGCCCTTGCGCTTGCCGGGGAAGCGCTTATTCCACCAAGCCATTTCCCCGGCCCCTAACATCAGCTGACTTGATAGTTAGAACCCTCCAGTAATTCAATCACCTACAAAAGCCCACCACTGAGTACATGGGACTCTTGGGGGATATCTAGATATAAAGCATAACATGCCACATCTCTTGGACAGGTGGCAGGCCTCTTTCATGACCCCAGCATTGGGAACCCCATCCACATCACCATCGTGCGCCTGATCCTGCTGGAAGATGAAGAGGTGAGAGGCCATGTGGCCCCATACTGTATCCTGGCACTGGCTACTGAGCCTGTATAGAAATGCACAACAAAGGCCTCTGGGCCTGGACAGTTTCCTCTGTCACCCTCTGGTCCCTGGCTCTTCCTCTGCTAGGTCTCTGGCCCCCCAGGACATACCTGCAGGAGGGTGGAGGCTGGAGGTTGGCTGCTTGTCCTCACTACTCCCTGTAATTCTCCCTCTTACCTTTGATGGTGAGAATCAGTCCTGTCCTGTGGGAGTCCAGGGCAGGAATGAGTGATCACTGTCTGTGCTGCAGAAGGACTTAAAGATCACACACCATGCAGACAACACCCTGAGAAGCTTCTGCAAGTGGCAGAGAAACATCAACATGAAGGGGGATGCCCACCCCCAGCACCATGACACAGCCATCCTACTCACGAGGTATACCTGCTATGGGAGGGTAGGGGCAGGAGGGCTGCCCCAGGGAGGTTCTAGGGCGAGGGGTATCTATTCAGAGTTCTGCACAGCTTTGTCATGAAGTAGGATTCTATCAGCACTGGGGGGTCTTTCTATTTCAAAGTAATTGTGGATTTGCATTAGGTTGTCTGAAACAGTGCAGAGAGGCCAAGTTTCTCCTCTAGGCCATGTACCTACTGGTAACATCGTGCATGGCTGCAGGGCAGTAGATCCTCCCAGCAGGAGGTCAACATAGATACAGTCCACTTAGTGAGATCTCATCAGGCTCTGTGTGTGTGCAGGCGCACACTGACCACCCGCTGTGTAGCTTTACATGTCCACCTCCCAGTCCAGATACAGAGAAATCGCATCAGAAGGGTATCTCATACCTCCTGTTTATCTCATGGTTACCAGCCCATTCCCCACCTCTGGCATCTTCTCATCTGACTAAAGGCCATGTGTCTGAGCTCCAGGTAGACTTGTTTTCCCTCTGCTGTGCACTGGCAGCTTTTATCAGCCCCCTCACTGAGAAAACACCAGCCTACTCTGGGCACACATCTGTACCCCCAGGCCCAAATGGGTAGGTCTAGTGGGTTGTGTGTGACTGAGGGCACCCGCGTTGCAGTGGCCACCATGTTGGCCTGATGTCTCAATATGGCAAAGGATGTCCCTGTCGAGCCCTCTCAAGTGAGCACCAACCGGCCTTGGCCTGCTCTGAAGGCTGCATCTCTCCACCTGTGCAGGAAGGACTTGTGTTTAGCCATGAACCAGCCCTGTGAGACCCTGGGCCTGTCGCATGTGGGGGGTATGTGCCAGTTGAACAACAGCTGCAGCATCAGCGAGGACACCGGCCTGCCGCTGGCCTTCACCGTGGCTCATGAGCTCGGGCACAGGTACCACACCTCTCCTCTCTGCCACCCCTGATCCCAGCTTCAGCTTTCCACACTGGGGCACCAGCCAGCCAGATCTATAGGTCATGAAATCATGAAGAAATGAAACTTGGTAGGGAAGGAGCCCCAACTGCACCAGGCTATGTACAGCTCCCTGCCCTGTCCCCTCCCACTCCCCAGCCAGGCTGCTTCCTTGTTGAGCACAAGGGACAAACTGCCAAACCCCAGCACTCTGTGTCCTCCCCACAGATTGAGGGATGGACACAGTGATGTCCAAGATACCCCATCTGACACTTGGGCCTGGGGCTCATCTAGAGATGGCTCATGCCCTCTGCCATCTATGCCCAGGCTACTTAGTTGCTGACTATAGTGGTACCTTAGATGTCCAGCAGGCTGGTCAGGGCACAACAGGTGTGGAGTTATCCACTCAGATGTTCTGGTGACAGCCACACGTAGGGCCAAGAAGGCAAGAAGACCAAGAGGTCTCTGCCAGATTCCACCACTTCTTAGCTGTTACTGGGCTCAGTCCTTAGCCCTCTGGGAGCAAGAAGGAGGACGGAGGCAATACTGCTTTGGAATGAGCCTTGAGGGGCAATAACTCCCCATGTCCTGCCTGAGAGTGGTCTCTAGAAAGCTTTCTGGAAGATGGTAGCTTGGAGCCCTTGACTCAAGGATATGCCTTCAAACAAGATCTAGGGGCAGGGTGTGTCCACTGGCTCTTGGTGGGGGAGAGATTGCATAGCCATAATGTACTTCCAGCTGTGCCACCTGCTCTGTGTTGCTGGCTACCTCAGGGCCATGACAGAGCTGCTCTGGGTTCCTGGCCCTCATGTCAAGCTAAGGCTATGCACCTGGTGGGAGAGCTCAGAGGACACCAGTGATCATACCCCTGATGGGCACTCAGGAAATGGCTCAGAAAGGGCACCTAACCATCCTGTGGCACAGCCAGCCTAGGGAACCTTGGGGGAAGGGCAGCCTGTGGCCTCCCCCACCGGCTCACCCGCCCCTGGGGCCTGTGCTCTCACACAGTTTTGGCATGCACCATGACGGAAGCGGCAATGACTGTGAGCCTGTTGGGAAACTGCATTTCATCATGTCTCCACAGCTCCTGTACGACTCTGCCCCGCTCACCTGGTCCCGCTGCAGCAGCGAGTACATCACCAGGTTCCTCGAGTAAGTCTCCCTCAGCCTGGATGCTCTGCCCTGACCTCCAGGTCACAGAGCAGGGAGGGGCAACAGATGTGGCACTACAGTGCCAGGCAGGAAGGACACACAGAAGGGCCCAATAGGTACAGGCCCAGGGCCCCAAGATCTCCCTAGAGGGGACTGATGCGCAGGAGCTCACAGATACAGGTGAGAAAGAAGGAGGGTCTCAGTATAAGACATAAGCAAAGCCAGCCATCTGGCAAGGAGCACCTTCTCACTTGCTCTTGGGTGAGCAGGCCACCTGGCCTCCTCTGAAGCTGCCTCTCTCCACCTGTGCAACAAGGCCGTGTGTGTAGCCAGTCGTCTCTGATGTTCTCAGAGAAATGTGCAGGTGTGAGGGGCACTCGGGGAAAAGGCTGCAGAGAATATGAAACTCAAGGGTGGCCACGTGTCCCAGTAGGAAGCCAGGGAACTGAAACTGAGAGCTTTCACCTTCTTTCATCATCTCTTAATTTACCGAGAGATTTCGTATTTCATGTTTTACTAAAGAAAAAATTGGAAGTCAGAAGCATCTATGTCATCTCCCATCTTCACATGCACAGTTCCCATTTCGCAGTGCTGGGGATTGAACTGGGAGTTCTGCATATGCCAGACAATGGCTCTGCCTCTGCCATGAACACTAGTTTTTGTTTGTTTGTTTTTGTTTGTTTATAATTCTTTCTTTTTTTAATTTTTGTGTGTGTGTGTGTGTGTGTGTGTGTGTGTGTGTGTGGCCAGCTCAGCCCACCAGGGGGCGGGGCTGGATGGCATGTGGTGCTGGGGGATTGAACTGTGGTCCCTGTGCTTTGCTAAGCTTGTTCTAAGTAGGTGCTTTAGACCACTGAGCCATCTCACCAGCCCCAACACTAGTTTTAAATGCAAATATTTATTAAAATGTGCACCATTCATCCTTCAGCATGCACATTTACCAAGCAGTGGAGATGCTGCTCAAGCCCGCTCTGTTATTTCCAGAGTTTTTTTCCTCCTTAATATGCGTGCTCTGCCTTCAGCATACTGAGGAGTTAGGAGAGACTGCTAACAGGAGGAGCTCTGCAGGAGCCTTTCTTTCCTCTTTGTCCCTGTCACCCTTATTAGCAAAGTGGCTGACTCTGACCTGCACAACACCTTAGTAGGTTTTTAATTACATCTTCAATTTCATTGATTGATATTGGTTTATTTAGAATTTTTATATTTTTCTTGATTCAGCTTTGGTAATCCATATACAGCTGGGAATCTGTTTCTTTTGCATTTTATGTCTTATTAGAATAAACTTCCCTAAGTTGGTATATATGATTTTCTGGATTTCTGCAGGATTCATTGTAATTTCACCCTTTTCATTCCTAATTGTGTGGATTGTGTCTTTTCTTTCCTTTTTTTATAAGGTTGACTTAAGGGTTTGCTGATTTTATTTCATCTTTAGAAAACCAACTCTTTGATTCATTGATTCTTTGTTTTCTTAGTCGCTAGTGTATTTGCTTCTGCTCCAAACTTTATAATTTCCTCTCTCATCCAAGCTTTGGACTTGGCCTGCTCTTTTTCTGGAAGTTTGAGGTTCAACGTTAAGTTGTTTATTTGCACTTGCTCTGTTTTGGTTTTTTTGGTTTTGGGGGGTTTTTTTTGTGGAACTGGGGATTGAACTCAGGCCCTTGTGCTTGCCTGGCAAGCACTTATTCCACTGAGCCATCTCCCCAGCCCCTCTGTTTTCTTGATATGGGTATTCACTGCTATAAATTCCCCGATACTGCCTTCATTGTGTCCCATAAGTTCTGGTGTGTTGTACTGTCATTATCATTTAATTGTAGAGACTGTCTAATGTCTTCTTGAATTTCATCTGTGACCATTGATTGATTGTTCGGGAGGGTGTTATTTAATCTCCATGTGTTTATGAAGTCCTTGTGGTTTCTTTTACCATTGATTTCCAATTTCACTGCACTATGGTCTGATAATATACATGGGATAATTTCACTTCTTTGCATTTACTTAAGCATGTTCTATGAGCTAGTATGTTTTCTGTTTTGGAGAATGCTTCATGTGGCATAGAACCTTAGTGAAAACAGGTGACAGAACTCCTATTTCTTGTTTAGGTTTTGTTGCCTTCTTCCTGTGTTGAAAGTATGTTTGGGTGGAAAGTAAGGTTTCTAGGTTGTCCACATTCTTTTCTCTATCATCGTTCACATGATGAGTATGTCATCACATGCTTGGTTGTTTTACTGAGCTGCATGTTGTCAGTCTGCCAGGACTCCGTGTCCATGGGGCAAAGGGGTGGTGAGGACACTGTGCAGATATGAGTGTGTCTCCGCTGCTCACGCCCTTGCTCCCATGACCCACAGGACCTCACTTAACAAAGTTCAAGTTCAGAAACCCTGAGCATGCAAGATAGTGACAACAGAGCCCTTGGTCACCTTGTTGTCAGTAGGCCTCTTAGAACTGGCTCAAGAATTAAAAGTATTTCAGGTCCTTCTTGCCTCAGACAAAGAATTGGATATGATAAGCCAAAAACAGTGTCAAAAGTTTATTTGAAAAGTGAGGGCTGAATAGGGGAAGGGAGGAACTAGCTCTGTAGTACAAACTTAGGCTGAAAAAAAAAAAAAGAAAAGAAAAGGATAAAAGCAAAAACAAAAGGATGCCCTGCATCCAGGAAATGCAGACTGGACACAGGGTGGGCTACTGTAAACAGTCCCAGTAGTGAGTTCCTTGTGCATCTCACCCATTATGCTGTCCACGCCTCATGGGAGCCCACAAGAAGTTGCAGATAGAGAGGGTCCTGAGAATCACTTGGTGCTGACTTCGGATCTTATAATTGAGAGGTCCCACTAATTTCCCCAGCCAGCTTTGCCATGCCCTACCTCCTATATTATTTCCCCCTGAGAGACATAAATTTCATAAAACTTTATGGGGTGCTGAGGCAGTAGAAGTCTTTATCTTCTATAGTTTCCTTGAGGGCTTTGAACCCTACCTACTAGGGAGTATGTACTCTCCAACTATCTTGGAGTGTTGTGGTTCATGGCTGGACTGAAGAAAAAGCCTGTCAGAAAATGAGAAAAGAGTTAGTGACCCTTGAGCTGCTTGTTTGATGAAAGAAACTTTGTTAGCTCTAATATGAGGAGCAGGTCAGATTGCCACACTTCTGTGGAGAAGAATGCATGTTAATGTCTGTTGGATAAATTATCAAGTCTGAGAGCCATTGCCTTAGCAAGATCCTTGTTTATTTATAGCAGCAATGAAGTCTTGCTTTTTAAAGAGAAATTTCAACTCTTCCAGAGGCTTACAGGGGTAGTTTTTTTTTCCTTTTGGGTGATCTTGGTCCTTAGACAGTTTGGGTGGGACTAATTTTAATCTAGAAAGATGAATCAAATTACCTGTCACTGCCACCTTTACAGCAGTGGATGTTGCAAGACTCACTGAGAAGGGGTCTTTCCATTTTGGCTTCAACTGGTCAGCTGGTGCTCCTTCTCTCTAAGTTTTCACAAGTACTTATTCTCCAGGGCAGACACTAGGTGGTCTCCTTGGGCCAGGAGCTGGCAGGATTCCATTCCCATATATTTGGGTAGCTTGGTGTGCTTGGCCCAGAAGCATCAGTTATTGTAAGAGTCTTGTAGTCTCTGGGTCTACTGTCATATCAAAGGATAGAAATAGACCTTTGTAAAACATCTTAAATGGTCTCAAGTTAGCCCAGTTTGGGGCATAGCTAAAGCTTGCCTCATGAATGCTGTCGGTAGCAATCAGACCCATGACTCAGATGTCTCTTGGCAAAATATTGGAGGAGATTTCTTTCTTTTGTTCCTTTTTTTTTTTTCCTGAAGGAATGTACCAGGAATAAAACTCAGGATCTTGTGCTTCCCAGGCAGGCTCTATGACACTGAGCTGTATATATCTCCTTGCCGGAGCTTTCTTTAGGCTCTGGTTTGGCTCTCTCTACCTTTCCAGAAGATTGAGTGAAATGAAGGTGATACTTTATTTCTAAACCCTTTCCCACTCCCTGAGTTATTGGGGAGGTAAAAGAAGGTCCATTGTCACTCTGGAGAAATGGGTAGCTCAAACTTGGGGACAGTTTATTTAAGAATCATCTTGAATCACTCAGTACCCTTTTCTGAACATGAAGAAAGGTTTTGATCCAGCCTGTGAAGGTGTCAATAAGGATCAACATCTGTTTAAATCCTCTGCATGCTGGCACATGGATAAAGTCTAGTTACCAGTCCTCTCCAGGGTATGTCCCTTTCCTCTATACAGGTTATAATAAAGGAGGCAGTTTGGGCTTATGCAGGTTGTTTTAGGAACAAAATGGGCAAGCTTTGTAGACCTGTTTGGAGGTTGTAGCTAGTCTTAGTCCTGTGAAAGTTTGAGTGGCCATTGCCAATTTAGTGACCATTTCCATCACTTTGCATACAGCAGGAATCATGAAGTATTTTTTATAGCTTTCCCCTGTATTCCTGGAGAAGGACCAGTTTGTTTCCTAAATACCACCATAATCCCTTTTTAATTTCTTCTTGTCCAAATGCCCATTTATTTGCTTAGGAAATATAGACTGGTTTTAATGGTTCCTCAGGAATTGGGAATAAGGCTAGAGTTTCAGGGGCGACAGGGCTGTCCTTTTTGCCTATCAGCCTTTTCATTTCCCCAAGATATTTTAGACATATGTCTCTGGTGTCCTCTGACTGTGTGACCTGTCTGGGAACGTGGGCTGCCTCTAGGAGTTACAGAATTTCCGGTTTGTGTTTTGCAGATAATTGTTTATTTGTCATGTAAACCTGTTCCTTTCTAGATTGCAACATGGGCATGTAGCGCCAGAAAGGCATACCTAGAGTCTTTATAGATGTTTAACCTTCTGCCTTCTCCTAACATTAGTGCTTGAGTCAGAGCTGCCAGTTCTGCCTTTTGAGCAGAGGTTGCTAGGGAGAGATTTAGTTAGCTTCAGTGACCTGCTGTGAGCTGATAGCTGCATAACTTGCCTTTTGATGTCTTTCTTGGACAAAGCCATTTTGATCAGT